TACCTCAGTCAGAGGTATACCTAAAATGTGCCTAAATCATACCTCTGACTGAGGTATACCTAAAATGTGCCTTGATACGTGGTACATTCAAGGTATGCCTAAAAAATATCTTATCCTTACTGGGAATACATGTTTAGGGTTTTATTGAGATACCTGGTTTTTGCATTGTTGTTACCACTATCCATGCTTCCTTCTTCAGAAAATAACAAGTCAAGATTTTGGCAAACAATATTTTATTTTGCTACTATTACCAATTACTGGTTTAAACAGTACCAAATATAAATAATTATAAGTTAAATAAATTAGGATATATATTATATATTTTACACAATATTTTTACTTTAAACATATATACAAACTAACAAACTGATAAACTTTATAATATATATACAAACACATAATAAAAATGAAACCTTTTACAAGTGAATTATATCATTGTACACACATTATCAACCTTTTTGAACCCAGTTGTTTAACATTCAATCCTTTCTAATATTCTTAAATGTCTGATAAGAATAGGTCCTTCTACAGCATTTGCATACATGAGACAATTGGTCACTTGGATGATGACAGCTGGTTGTTTTTGCTGATAACTGCTGTTATCTTTGATCTCATGGCACATCTGATTTGATTTAAACATATTTTTATTGCCTTGAAAATGACAAAAAGGATTGGGCACAAGTTCTTACAACTTAATTAAGCCCTCTCCTAACTTAAATACAGTTTACGTACATCATAGCTGTCTTAACATGTACATTTCATTTTTTTTATTTTATTTTTTATTTATTTTTTATTGAATTTAAGTTGAATTATTAAAATAGGTTGTTGACGACTGTTTCTCTGTACCCCGACCTACTCATAGAGAATTAACCGAGGTTTTCACACAGATAAAGAAAATTCAGTTCTTCGAACATGATGTAATTGTTGTAATTAAGACTACTTACTAGAAGCGGTTTGTATCCTTAATGTACTTACATACATAGTTAAAGGTTTTACTGTTTTGTTCAAAAGTGAGATCATGATTACCCCAGAGAAGTGTGTTTATGTCTGTTAGGAGGATCTCTGGAAGATTTAAGTTCCTAAGATTTCTTACCAGGTGATTTCTTACAGTTGAGTAATTTGGACATGTATAGAAATAGTGATGTACATTTTCTACCTCCCCACATAAACATAAAGGGTTATCACTGAGGTTAACTCTATAAATGTCATATTGAAGACTGCTGCATTTGTTCCTAAGTCTGGTGTGTAAAATTGTAAATTTTCTATCTCCTACTGTTAAAAATTTTGGAATAGAAACAACATCATGTTTGAAACAGTTTTTAAATGCAACAAGAGAATGGGTTGACTTTATACAGGAGTTGAGGGAATTCCATTGTGTTACAGATGATGGTATGAATGATTTTCTAAAAAGTTCAGTCCTACATCGTGGGATAGTGAAATCGTCTTGGTTACGAGTAGCATATGTTGATGTTTCAGAACGGAGACTAGGAAGGATTTCTACCAGATAATTTGGTGTCATATCGTTTTTTATTTTGAAAAGGGTTGATAGCTTAATATGTTTACGACGTTCGGATAAGAGTTCCCATCCCGTCTCAATGTAAAGCGATTCTCTTGATGCGTATACAGGTAGGCCGGTAACTACTCGAGCTGCAAGTAACTGAACTCTTTCAAGTTTTTCAGAGTCTTGTTGAGAACACCCATCCCAGACTACCGATGCGTACTCCAATAAGGGACGAATATATGTTTTATAAAGAACAGATAAAGAATATCTAGACACTGAATATTTAAGTTTTTTGAGTAATACTAGTTTTTTGTATGCTGACTTGGCAATACAGTCAATATGGTATGACCATCTGCCATCACTGGAGAAATTAAGACCTAGATGTTTATGATGTTGAACGAATGGTAAAGTAATGTTTTGAAATACAATATCAGGTAATGTAGTATTTCGTCTTTTTGAAATAAAGATCATATTTGTTTTTTCTGCATTGAATTTCATTAACCATTTCTTTGACCAATTTTCCAAAATAGATAGATCATGATTTATACAAGTTTCCATCTCTCCGGTGGTTGCAGATGATTTACCCAAGGATGTGTCATCAGCGAATAATCTGCTTATACTTATCATATTTTCAGCAATATCATTTACATATATAAGAAATAAGAGAGGACCCAGTACTGACCCTTGGGTCACTCCTGCTGATAGGTTAAGTGAGTTTGATTGACAGGATCTATAAACAACTCTTTGTTTTCTATCCAATAAGTAGCTTTTTAACCAATTCAAAATATTACCTGTTACACCATATTTTTCTAATTTGTACAACAATCCCCTATGCCATACCCTATCAAAAGCTTTCGATAGGTCACAAAAGACTATACAACAGTCTTGTTGGTTGTCCAGAGCAGAGACAATACTATGGTAGATTTCCAAAAGTTGGAATACGGTGGAGTGGCCTGGTAAGAACCCTGATTGATATTTGTAAAATAAATTATTGGTGTGAAAGAAGTTATAAATATTCTTAAAAACTAAACGTTCCAACACCTTACTGATACAACTTAGCAGAGATATTGGTCTATAGTTTGAAACCATACTGGGATTATCTTTCTTAAATAAAGGTACAACATTTGCTAGTTTCCACATACTAGGGAAGCAGTTTTCTGAAAGAGATCTGTTAAAGAGAATACACAAAGGTTTACAGACAGAGGAAGCTGTATTTTTTAGCATCCTATTATTAATTGAGTCTGGACCAACAGCTTTATTTATATCAAGAGTTTTTAAAACATCTTCAACCTCATTCTGATCTATATGAATATCTGTAAGAGAGAAAGTTCGTTGTGGAAATGGATTTAGGACAGTATTAGGTTCTTCTATTGTTGATATTGATACAAAAAAATTGTTTAGAGCATTAACCTTATCAGAGTCCGAGTATGAGATTGATGAGCTGCCATCAGTATTTGTGGATTGTAATGGAGGAATTTCTGATGATGATGACTTGTGTGATATAAGCTGTTTAAACAATTTCCAGTAAAGTTTCTGGTTGTTGATAAATGCATCGGTAATCTTACACTCTATATTATTATAATAGTTTGAAATAGCATGTTTTTTCATATTACACACCTTGTTCCGTGCTGCTTTGTACATATTATAAAATCTGGAGGTATGAGTAGATTGGGCTTTTTGTCTTAATTTGTCTCTGAGACGAATTTGACTTCTTAATGCTGAATCGAACCAAGGTTTGTCTCTTGGATGAATAGTAATTTGTTTGTGAGGTATACATTGTTCTATAAGTTTCATTAAAGTTTGTGTAAATATGGAACAAGCTTCATCTATATTTTCTGGACTGTTAATTATATAATCCCAATCTACATCAGCTATTTTATTGTTTAATTCAGCAAAATCTGCATTTTTATATAACCAAATGGTACGGTGAAAAGATGTAGGTTTGCATCTAAAATGTACAGGAATGGATGTATAAGTGGCTCTGTGGTCACTAAGATGTTGATCAACACTGATAACCCCACTTTCACATGTAGAAAAGGCAGAACTAACCAAGATGGGATCAATAAGGGTAGATGTTGCTTGAGTGACTCTAGTTGGATCTGTAATTAGATTTAACAAGCTGAATGATTCACATATGGTTACAAGAGGATTTGATAATGTTGCAGCGGTGAGGTCACAATTGATANCATATTATAAAATCTGGAGGTATGAGTAGATTGGGCTTTTTGTCTTAATTTGTCTCGGAGACGAATTTGACTTCTTAATGCTGAATCGAACCAAGGTTTGAATAGTGAATAGTAATTTGTTTGTGAGGTATACATTGTTCTATAAGTTTCATTAAAGTTTGTGTAAATATGGAACAAGCTTCATCTATATTTTCTGGACTGTTAATTATATAATCCCAATCTACATCAGCTATTTTATTGTTTAATTCAGCAAAATCTGCATTTTTATATAACCAAATGGTACGGTGAAAAGATGTAGGTTTGCATCTAAAATGTACAGGAATGGATGTATAAGTGGCTACTAAGATGTTGATCAACACTGATAACCCCACTTTCACATGTAGAAAAGGCAGAACTAACCAAGATGGGATCAATAAGGGTAGATGTTGCTTGAGTGACTCTAGTTGGATCTGTAATTAGATTTAACAAGCTGAATGATTCACATATGGTTACAAGAGGATTTGATAATGTTGCAGCGGTGAGGTCACAATTGAGATCACCTACAATTATGATATTATCGCTGATTTCAAGTGATTTTTCAATTGTCCATTCAAAGTTAGCCCAAAAACTGGTGGGTGCATTTGGTGGACGATATATATTGCACAGTAATATATTAAGAGTTGGTGTATCAATTTGCACCCAAATTGCTTCCAGGTTATGATGTTCAAGATCTGTACATCTGATTTCACTAAGGGTTGCACTATTTTGGCGGTTCAGAAGGAAATATGCTGAAAATATAAATAGTTTACATTTTGTTCACATGTGCGAAATTCTTTTAACATGCTCCAGTAGATGAGAAGGCAACCTGTCTATACAATGCACACAACATGGCCATAGCCTGGCCCAAACAGGTTGTGACCATGGACAGAAGCTTGAAACACAGACTCTTAGATAAAACTTTGCACAAAATTAAGTTTATAACTCAGATTTCAGAACAATATTTAAGTGTGAAATGAATAACGGAGACTGATCATGAGCACTACGCAGAACTGAGTGAGAATAAACCCAAAGACTAGTTAAATACTAATGGGGGAGAATAAGAATAAGTAACTAAAAGTGTTGTATTTCTAAAAGTTGTCCACTTTTTGCAAAAATAAACAGCTGCTTCATATAAAAGGCACAGCTAGGTTTTCAAACATTATTGCAATGCTTATTCTCTCATGATTCACCCAAATACACTATTTTGTGAAGTTTTTTCAACTTGAAATCAATATAAATGTACTTTTTTCAAACTAAAAAAACCCCATATTTTGAACTTACTCTCTATAGTGTTGATAATTTGTGGGTCCAAGCCAGGCTTCCCATTTACGCCAGTGATATTTCCCGCCTTTATCAGGTCTTCTGTACTCCAGAACACTGCCATAAGGTATCTGGCGATCCCTGTGCTCAATGTCTTTTTCTGACACACTGTGATGTGTTTAGGACATAAGAAGATGGCAGCAACTCTACCATCTGGAAAATGAAATAATTATTAGTGGTGAATTCAACGGGAGTTTATACATATTTCAAGCAGACTGGTAATTTGATGCAAATGCAAATAATACATGTGCTATTTTTGGTTATCAATTAGTTTTTTGCAATAAAATACTGCAAGGCAAAGATACTGATAAAGTCAACACAAGTACTAGTCTTGGAATATCATCAATTACTAACATATTTCATCCCTGAGTAGATAATTAACATGTGAAATGGAAGTTGATGTAATTAGAGAAATTATGTATATTAGTATACATACATGATGCATCTTCGCTAACTCTGGGGCAACTAGTCCCGGGTTTGGTGCATCCTCATTTTCCCCTAAAAGTATAAAGTGTAAGAAATTGTTTCAATAAAGAGCACACCTAGCATGTGATGTTCTTAGAATCCTACTGTGTCACTCTCACAACAACGGGTATGACCATAATGAAACGTGGGGAACTAACATTTGTGAACTGCAAGATAAATTATGTTGTTGATGTTATGAAAGAGGCAAAGATTGTACGTTGCTTCTAATGCTGAAGAATTATACAAATAAGGTATATCCCTTTACACTTTAAATAAGTCTGCTTTTACACATTTCAAACTGTGGAAAATGTATTTATCCCTTTGCCTATAATCCCATTCATCTTAAAACAAAAGATAAACTAATTTCAGTGTTGCCTAATTACATTAAGATTTGAACCTTGACTGTCCTAAAAACAGTTAACAAAGAATGAGGCTATATGGATAATCAAATCTTTGCAAGTGTTTCGATATAAACTCAAGTCCTTCAAAAGACAATCAAGTACTGTCTCAATATACACCATACAGGCCTAATAGTACTGTCTCAATATACACCATATAGGACAAAATATAAAATATTGTTTTCATTAAATTCTTTTGGGTTATTTTCATGCAAGCCTTATAAGTTTTGCCATGAATTTGAAAAAGTTTTAATTTCCTATCATAAAGGATAGTTGTCCTCTGTTTGTATTAATGAAATTTTGTTCCTCACAATTGTTTTTTGTTCAATGATGTTCCTAAACAAAACAGATCTTTATAAGTGTAAAGGCCAAGATATCAGCTAGAAGAATAAACTTCTACTTACAAAGCTTGGTGATGAGTAGTGACTGGCCCATGACTCACTGCTCACAGATGGCACTGTCCGTGGTGGTAAATGCAGTGTCCTTCGTGCAACTTCCTGATCAAATGGATACGGCAACTGTCTGTGCAACGATGGAGTCATCTGGGTCTCATTGTATGTTGACTCTAGAGGCATCAAGTTCCCTACGTTTGGCCACATCGCATTCTGGTAGCTCACCTGTTGATTGGGTGACGACTCTAGATGGCTGATCTGTTGCCTGGCGTGTGATTGATACAGGGTGTTGTCGGTATTTGGCTGAAATTTGATATTTTTTATGTTATGAAGTATGTATAAAAATATATAAACTCATGCTTGTAATCACATTAACAACGATACCTAAACAGTTTTGTCTCATCAAATTAATGACAATAATTATGCATACCACTTACATCTCAAAAATGAAAGATTTCTAAAAGATAGTTATTTTACATTCCTTTACATTAAGAATAATGGCTAGAGATCCCTTATTATGTTTTTGTTGTGGTATTTATTTGTTGTGTTGATTTTTTTAGGTCTATGTTTCACTTTCGGGTTTAGTCGATATTGTAATCAACACTCAAGAAATTATAAAATAAAAAGTTTCCAAGAAAAATACCTTTCATTTGTTTACATTTTCATGTTTTTCAGTTTGAGAAATTACAAAAGGTGCACAAGTTAAATGATTGGGGTTCAAACCTTGAATATAATACAATCACTAAAACCCATAAGAAAAGGACCATAACTCCATAATTATGGCTAGCTATTCCATTTTCTATATCCATTTTATATCCACTCCATGAAAGTGATAGCAAGGTATGTGTACCAATTTTCGTTCAAAATGGTGCAGTACATAGGAAGAAGTGTATTAATGTTTTGAAGGAGCAAAAATCTGTAAACATGAGAGGTAACTCAAAATTATTTACTTTAATAACATCATCTCAGCGAAATTTCAAATCGGTCAAACCAGCGAAAAACTTTAAAAGTTACTTATAAATATAAACCGTGAGAGGCCTGGTTCAGGAAGTTCAGTCCCTTTGTTGTATTTCCAGAAGCCTTAAATTGGTGGGATGTGAATTAAAAACCTTATAAATTATAAAAACCTAAAATTATTATTATTTATGCTGCTAGTTTGTCCTGTCAAAAACATTTGTTGTATTTACCTGCAACTGCTCTCTAAATGTTGATATGGCGTGCAAATGGGCAGCATTTTTCCTCAGGTTATCCTCCTTCTTCCGCTCTATCTCCTGTTGTTTTTGTTGTTTCTCTTCTTGGTTTTCTACAAAAGAAAAATGTTGTACATTAATGAGTAATTTAAAAGGAAACAGCCAATGTCTGTGATTAAATGTAAATGCTATATATTGAATGAATGGAATCCGCCCCAAAAACTAAAGAAACTTCCTCATAACGAACTAAATATAAGTTTAACAAGAGTTACGCGAAGTGGTACATGATATACCGGTCAGATGTTAAATGAGCAGTTTGCCACAACGGGCAAATGAATCCATTCAAAATTACTTAAGTTATTGAGCTGAAACTAATGAGTGTCCGCTTGGCCCCCTGAACGCCCGAATGGGTGAAAACATAATACATCCCTCAATCGATGGGCGTATAATAAGGATGGAATACATATCATGTGCAATAAAAAAAAATCAACTCAGTTTTAGTTTAACATGGTGCAATTGAAGGAACCAATACATTTATCACAACTAAAAAGGCATGCACATTAAAGATGTATTGAATAAGCATAAGTTTGCAGTGGAGCAAAAGAAGTGAAATGGCAGGGAAGATAAACAAAATTGTTATTTCTCATTTTTTTAGGGGGACACAAGATTTGATTTTATCACGCAGTAAATGTTTTTTTTGCAGAAGAAGAAACTATATTTGTACTGTTTTACACAGTGAAGTTAAGAATTTATCTGATACATCTTGCAATGTTAAAACCTAAGAATATCTGAGTTTAAATATTAAGGAAGTATGTCTCAGAATCTTGTCATATCTGACTAACACCAAGAAACTTTCAACCAAACAGAGTGCAATATGCTAATTGATTATTTGATTTTGCTCAGCTTTGCACTATCTTTATAAATTGTCCTTTTATTTCAAGTTTCATAAAATAATGTGTTTTTAAGCAAGTTATCTCCTAGAAAGTAAAATGATTGGCATTATGTATAAAACAAGAGGCCCATGGGCCTTAATGGAGATTTGATTTTGTTTTTAACAAGAACAGAAATATTATTCAAATTGACAAAAAACAATACAACCACCTTATTCAATATCTAGCATACAGATTTAAGACTGAAAAGTATTTGAAACTAGCACCTCTGATTCTAAACAAGGAAAATGAAGAAATTTTAGCTCACTGACTCCTATGGGCTCCACCCTACAGCCCTTGGGGGTAGGGCCGGCTCAAAGATTTCAGAGTATCATACTGTCAACTCAGCATTATAATTCCAACCAAGTTATTAACATGTAATATTCAAAGTATCAGTTGCCATTATAAACCATAATAAATATTGCCTCCCCCCTCCTCCTCCTTCCCCAGGGGGTTAACGTGAGAATGACTCTAGGGTCATAAACCTTAAGACCCTTCCATTTATGAAGAGTGTTTAATTTTACCAAATCTGGGTATTTGAGAAGATTTTTGAAATTTTAGTCAATTTGACCATTTTGGCCCCGCCGCTCAGGCCCCTGGGGACAAAATCGGCAACTATTTTAGTTGACCTTTGGCCATGGAAGGTTTCTGCAAAATTTCATTGAAATTGGTTCAGGGGTTTTGGAGATGAAGTCGAAAATGTAATTTGTTTATTGACACACGCTGCCGGACAAAAGGCGATCGCAATAGGTCAGTTGAGAAAAAAATTTAGGTGACTAAAAAAGTTTATTTATAAAAATGTGAACTAATATTACCATATTGGCCAGTAATTGTACCTTTGTTCAGATGAGTCTTTTGCTTCTTTGACTGGACAGCAGGTGTGTCTATGGATGATGTACATGTGGTGCCTTGACGTTTTCTGGGTTGCTTTCTTGTTGCATCTGCTGCTCTGCTTTCCTCAACTGCTTTTGCCTGCAGTGCAGCCTGCTGGACTTCAGATCTCCTAAAAAAGTGAACAAATGATAATTTTGATGAACAAAAACATATGTCTCGATCCCCTTAGTAGCCAATATGCATATTTGGAAAAATAATAAGGTCATATCAAGATTAAGATGTGTACATTCTAAACCATTAAACTTTTAATTTGTTATGGTTCATATTAAATTGTCTTAACAATGTTGGTTAAGTTTCAGAAGCTATATGGTACTATAGACACATTTACAAAAATTAACAAAGGGCCTTAACTCTGTAGTAAGTTTTGCATTGACCCAATTCCAGTGCAAGAGATTCCGCCTTTAGCTTACCAAGATACATAGAAATGGTAATTAAGTTTGGTCAACATTGTCGAAATAACATGGAGCTTTATGCTCCAAACAAACTTGGGAATCCAAAATAAACAAAGGGCAAAAACTCTGTATAAAGTGGGGCACAAGACCTAACTGTAGTTCACTGCACACCTTCTGTGGGTGATGCAGGTATCCTGCAAAATTTATCAATATACATTGTATCTTTAAGGGATTCAAATTTAAAAGGGGCACATTTGAGGCATGCAGTCCTAATGGAGAACATTAAAAAAATCAAAGTCCAAATGGGGCACATTTGAGGCACATTGATAAAACAGAGTCCATGGAAATGGGGCACATTTGAGGCATGTGGAAGAAATTTTAAGTCCTAATGGAGAACATTAAAAAAATCAAAGTCGAAATGGGGCTTATTTGAGGCACATTTATAAAATTAGAGTCCAAATGGGGCACATTTGAGGTATACTTTAAAAATACCCCAGAAGTAGAGGTACAGTTTAGGCATGCCTAAAATGTACCTCTGGCCAAAGGTACAATTTAGGGATGAAAAAGGCATGAAATAGGCATGCCTCAATGTACCTTTTTTTAGCCTGGGAGGTTTCAAAATCAAAGACTTAAGAATGTAAACAATGTTCTAATTATGTAAAGTTCCTGAATATAAGGCTTCAGTCATGAAGTAATTCACACTACTAAACTTAATAGTTAGTTCCACTATTGTTACACCACTAGTCACACCACTGTGGGTATAAGCACAGTTCTGTAGTGACACAACTACATGTAAATGTAGGCCACATCAATGTTCTATTCAAGTGTTAACACAATACTTAAGTGCACGAATGTTCATATAGAAGTAGCAGAGGGCTATGATTCACCCTGTCTCAGAAGTCATAGGGGTTCCTCATGAGTCGTTGAAGTGCCCAGGCCCTTCCTCATCCCTGTTGTGGCGTGACTGTCTGTGATGTCACCACGAAATGTCTGAGCCGTCTGAGAGGAGTCAGTGACAAGCAGCCGTGACAAAGGAAGTATATAGAAGTTGTAATGACCTCAGGGTGCCGTCACTCTCGTGTCATCCCGTCCCCATACTGGCTACAGGACCCCAACTGCATGGTCCCCATCACTTGAACTACAAAAGGTCAACAAACTAAGGGTCACTTCCGGTATCAAATATATTTAAACTTCAGCTTCGTAAAGTTACCCCTAAAACAACTTTTACATATTGACAATATATTACAACCATTTAGCATATGCCTAACAGCCTAGAACAGTTCATAAATGTCACTGAAACCAGTTAGCTTTCATTAGTTATCCGGCTCGCAAGCTACACACTCAGGTCCCTTACAAATAGCCCCTTGTTCAGCGAGTGGATTTCACAAAGAACATTCTTTTGGTCAAATATATACAAAATGACCACTGCACACTATCTCTTATAATAAACATAGTTATCATCTAGGAGATAAAACTGACACTATTTGTGACAAAATCCCACAGAAAAATCCCCAGCTCACCTGGTCTAAGGACCAAGGTAAGCTATTAATATTTTAACACTGCATCTGTCTCTCCATTGTCTATCTGTCAACAATTTCTTCATACAGCTTCTTCTCCTTGACCTGCTTGGAAATTTAACTAAGGTCTATCCTAGGTGGTTGGTTTTCAAAATTGTACAAATGGATGGAATAACCCATAACTATATATAAAATTGCTTGAGATAAAGGCATGAAGACAAGCATTGTATTAGAATACACCCCTAGTGAATGCCAGCACCCATCTTCATCTGCAGTAGGTTAGAAGTTTCCCACTCAACTACTCTTGAAAGAACGGTTTAATTACATGACACTTTCTACAAACAATTTAAGTATCAATTGCCTGCTAAAGTCTGTGTTTGCCTGTGATCTGAAACTCATGATCATCATGGCCTTGTTCTCTTGTGTTTGATAACAATACATCCATCTGCCTTGTCTTGAATCTTTCAAAATCAGTACTCGACAAATAAGTCAATCATATCTGTGACTATTACATGTTATTGACTGTAGTTATACAGCCAGCATTCAGGCCTCGTCTAATTACCAGGTTCCATATTGTGGTCTAATTACCAGGTTCCATATTGTGGTCTAATTACCAGGTTTCATAGTGTGGTCTAATTACCAGGTTCCATATTGTGGTCTAATTACCAGGTTTCATAGTGTGGTCTAATTACCAGGTTCTGTATTGTGGTACTACCATATATATATTCCTTGTTAGCTGTAACTCGTCCAGCTGTATCATAGATGGTGGGCACGTCTATCAAAAAAAATAAAAAATGAATATATAAAACTAGAAAGGTGAAGAACTCAGCCCCTACCATGGCTGGCAAAATTGAGGTAATTTTGTTTGAAGTGTCACAGAATTTTTATCCGCTAAAATCCTTCCCACAGCATAGTCTCGATCGAAAGTAGGGACATCAATCTTTAAATAACACCCATTATATATCTTCAAAACAGTGTAGTTATTTCGTAAGCAGTTTCGAAACTTGCCAAAATCACCGATTTGTGTTACCTCGGACACGATCCGGAACATTTTTTCGAAACAAATTCTTCATTCGGTACACAGAAAAGCGCACGACGTAACATTAATAAACCATGGTTTACTCAAAGATAAGGTCAAAACAAACTTGCTTACTTGTTTTACGCACCCCTAAATTTCTCCTCTCATAGGTGGTGGGCACGTCTATCAAAAAAAAAAAAATGAATATTTTTTTTTTTTTGATAGACGTGCACACCACCTATGGCTGTATTAAACAGAAACGTCATTGTACTTAAGATGGTGTAACATTTTATCCGTCCACAGCATTGTTTTAGTTGTCATATTCTTCCTGAAAATATCGGATAATGATATAACAAAATGCCCCACATTTTAATACGGTATCACAGATGACATGTGTTATTGCATGGATCTATTCAAAATCATATAACGACATAATTGATATGGCTAATGAATTTTGAAGTACTCGTATGACATTTCTTTGAACAAGAATATATTTCATTAGGCTGTTCAAGGTCACTTCCATTTTTCCACTTATTTTTCAACAAGATCATATTTCTTGGTGATGTTCCTACGGTCATCTTAATTCATTGTTACTATTTTGGGGATTTTTTTTTTTAATATTCGCTGTAGGTTCTGTGATTCTTCAGGCAAGTATATAAGGCATGAAAATACCTTGAAACAGTAACAATATGCATATCGGGTATTCTAGATAAGGGTCACTAACATGTTACTAGCAGGAAATATTGTTGTTGTTTGTAGAGTTGCACAGTGCTGTTTTGAACTTGGATCTTTTAAGCAGTCATTTTATCTCACAATTTTTGGAAACATGTGTATGTTTACAAGTTAATGTCTTTGTGATGATTGTGAGGATAGATTTCATTTGTGACGTAGTGGTTTTTTGGAAAGCTCCTTCGAAGTTTCCATATACATTCTACAAGATGAAGTCTTAGGGACATGTTTCTTTTTAATCAACACACCATGTCTTAAATTAGATAAGAACATTTATTACTATTTTTCTTTGATATGTCACAAGAGAAACCAAACATTCAGCTTGTGATGATTGATCAGGATTTGTATCCAAATTCATGAATTTAACCTCAAATATTAAATATATTATCTTGGTATAAGAACAAACCCCTTTCATTAATTATATGAATTGTCTATCACCTGTTGGTATATTTTATTAATGCAATTACTATTTGTCATATTAAGGATCCCCGTACCACTGCCAAAATCTGTGACTTAAGCTTTTGAAATATGTTTTTACCTCATTACTGTGGCTTTGTTGAAATTAGCACAAATCAGCAGCAGTGTTTGGAGTGTAAAGTGCAACAAGGCCAGACCAGGGTTTGAACCTTGAACCTCTGATCTAAAGTCACTCCAATCATTTACTGAGCTACCTGGCATACTTGCCAACTCTCCCTATATAGGAGGGAGACTCCCAATTTTGTGCCCTTACATTTAGTATTTTCAACCAGTGAAATTACTAAACTATTCCATTTATTCTGAAATCTGATTATTTCATCATAGAAAAAAAATCAATATAAGTAATTTCAAAAAGGTTATTTTGTCTCTTTGGGGTAGATACACTTTATTTATGTTTTGATTTTGAGAATGCAGAATCTCCCCTATGTAAATTTTAAAAAGTTGGCAAGTGTGGTAGTACCCTGATTTTGTTTATATCTAAAATCAAATAATTTTAAAACGAATCTTTATAAGAATTTTGTTTTAAAAATCAATTGACATCCAAATTTGACATATTGAATCTTGATGCAGTTGGATCAAGGGAATAAAAGTAACTTTCTTTTGTTCAGCATAGAAAAAGATAATAAGTGCAGTCGGGTTGGGCAGTGGATCATATCACACTCGCCCTTCATCAAGGCAGCAGGGGTTCGATTCCCTGATCAGATGTGAAATGGTATACAGTTTCCTCCCACATTAAGATCCCCAGTGCTATAACATACAGGCCAATAGGAGCAATTGATATATGTCGAAAGATTTTGTTTCATAATTGTTTTAAAATAAATATAGTTTATATAATAAGATAAACTGTAAGAGTACAACATATATCACTCTTCAATATAATGGCCGTGTATATACAGATAGGGCTGTACGTAATACTTTTAACATACTGCCATACAAAACAGGTATTTACATTTATACCAATAAACAATTTGTTGATTGCATTATATTTAATGTTAGATGTAATCTACACATTACATGCACAAGATTTGTGTTAGATATAAGGATATATGCTACTGTTACCTTATTTACATCATATTGTAATTTGTTTTTAATGTTTTTCTTTTTACAGTGTTTTAGTTTTCTGTAGGAATTCAGTGATTCTGAATTGCTGGAGAAAGCTATGTCATGTATAATTTTTGTAGACAGGGTTTTGGCAGGTTATTAGGAGAGGGCAGTGTACATTGCAAATATGTCATCAATATTTGTATACATTCAAATGTGTCATCTATACTTTTGTACCTTTCAAATGTGTCATCAGTTTTTGTATAATTTAAAATGTGTCATTTATACCGGATACCTGAGTACCTCTCAAATGTGTCATCAGTTTTTGTATAATTTAAAATGTGTCATTTATACCGGATACCTGCATACCTCTCAAATGTGTCATCAATACTTGTATACATTTCAAATGTGTCCTCAATATTTGTGTAACCTTCCAAGTGTGTCTTTTTAATTAGTTTGAATAAAGATGAACCTTTTGATGTTTTTGATATGAAATTTATTTAATGATTTGAAAGTATTCTTCTACAAAACAAAGAGGCCCAAAGGCCTTAAAGCGGTCACCTGAGTTATATTATAGTTACTGGTAGCTCAATTTCACTGTTGAGATGTGATGTGTAAAATCAACATGTGAAATATGTGAAATCAAAGGATAAGATTTTTTTTTTTTTTGTAAAATTACCCTTTGTGGCCCTGCCCTAGCCCCTGGGGTTACACCAGGAATCCCAATTTTACAATGTAATACCCTCATCCACCAAAGATGATTCTGACCAATGATTCTGCTGAAAATGGATAAAATATACCCGTAAGTGTTATTTCCCTATATAAACTATATATAGTCAACTTTACCCCATCCCCGAGAGAGAATGGATGGCCTGGGGGTACTGTAATTTACAATTTGAATAAAGCCCCTGATGCTATTTCTATCCATGCACAGAAATTGAGTCTTGAGAAGAATATTTTTGAAATATGGTTAATTTTCCCTTTGGGGCCCGTCCTGGCCCCTGGTGTTGGGGTATAGGAATCCCAATTTTACAATTTGAAGCCATCATCTCCAAGGATGAATCTCACCAAGTAAGAATAATTCCCTATGGAAAATTGTTGAAATATACCCAAAAGTGATATTTCCCTATATGAACTTTAGCCAACTTTACCCCCTCCCCAATGGAGAACGGATGGCCTGGGGGTCGTAAAATTTACAATTTAAATGAAGCCCCTGATGAACATTCCATCCATGCAGAGAAATTGTCTGTCAGTACCTTTGAGTTTTGAGAAGAAGATTTTTTAAATATTGATTAATTTTCCCTTTGGGGCCCCACCCTGTGGCCCCTAGGGTTGGGGTAAGAATCCCCAT